CCCAAATCACCAAAGCAAAAAAAAAAAAATTCTTTAAGAGGTGTGAAGGAACCTGCCATGTGAAAGGGAGCAGATAAGCATTTCCCCCGTTGAATAGGAAGGAGGCAGCAGCTACCTTTGACTGCACGGTGGTCTGTTTTAATTTCTTCTCTCTCTGGACTGCTTCTGAGGCAGCCGTTCTTGCAGTCAATCAGGCCGATAATGCCAAGGAATCTGGGAATCTGTCCACATTGCTCCCTCATTGGTATGCGCTCCACGTCGGCGGGTACAAAGCTGTCTGAACAATTTTTTTTTATCCAGATAACAAGGTCACCTTTGTCATCAAGTCGGGGCGGGGGGGGGGGGGGGAGAGAGAAAGATTAAAAAATATAAAATTGAGAGCTTTTTCAGAGATCAAAGAAGGGCAAAACCACCTCGAAATTAATTTCCTGTTAAGGGGACCTCAGTCTCTGGTTTCTTTCCTTCAATTTTCTACGGCTTTTATGACAGCAAAAATTGCAAAGGTTAGAACAGGGGTGTCCAACAGTGGCAACTTTGAGACCTGCGGACTTCAACTCCCAGAATTCTGAGAGTTGAAGTCCATTGGTCTTAAAATTGCCAACGTTGGACACCACTGGCTTAGATAGTTCCTCCACCACATTTATCTTCAGCATCTGCTAGAGTGGACCATCCAGGAATTTGGCATGGCTTTTGATCCATGAAGCTTCTTTCTGGTAGAGCATTGGATCTCTCAAACTCTTTCTTCCTTCCCCTGCTCCACTTTGACCGGTCAAACTCTGTGGAATTTTGGCCACTGCGACTCTTAGTCATGCAAAGGACTCCATACCACCTCCGTGAAAAAATCCCTGCCATCTTCTGCTTCTTCTTTGGAGGGTCAAAGCCTCTGAAGGCCAGTGTCATGCCCCTGTTGGAGTCTGATTCCAAGGGCGAGATGGAACAGCTGACAGGGAGTGGGAGTGTGGCACCAGTGGTTGTGGAGGAAACTGGGGAAGGGCACAGGCCAGATGGGGATTCAGAGGAAGGCCCAGGCCCATCCCCTCTTCATCCTAGGGCACGCAGGGAGGAGCGGATAAGGGAGAAATGTGAGTAGCATGGTCTAAGGGGGAGGAAGGGGTCCTGATCCCCTTCATGGGCTGCAGCTGGAAGGACTGGTTAAAAGGACACATGGCAAAGTTTCTGAAAGCAAAGTGTGCATTCTTGCCAGAGCTTATCTGTGTTTTGGCTTCCTCCCAATTGTGGTGGCTGCAGTTATCTGGTAGAAGTCTGCAATGAATCATCCTTGCCTGCCGTAGTAATTCCTTCAGTGTGGTGTGTTGGGTTTTTCATTTTGAATTAACTTTACTTTGGGTGCGGACTGCATTTACTCCCTCCGTAAACTGTTTTCTTTAAGAGTTTGATTTCCAGCCGAGGATAATTGGACATTGGGGCCAAGTTGGAGGCATTGAAAGGACTTTCTTCTATTTTTGTGACTTGCTTATTTTTGTGTCACGCCATTTTCTTTCCCAACTCTTTGAGAAGAATGGTTGATAGATGGATTTGACCTGCTCAGCACAGGACTAGCTTGGAAATAAGTGACGCTATGCTTTCTGGGTCTACTATCTGCCCAGAGTCGCTTTATTGGTGAGATGGGCAGCATATAAATTTAATTTAAATTATTTTTTTAAAAAAATACCTTGCATAGATTTTCTCTGAATTTGGGGATCTCCAAAGTCATCTCTCCCATTTGAGCAGTGAACTTCCAACTCAGAAGAAGACAGTTTTGCTTGGCTGCTCAGCTGGTTCCAACTCATCCAGTACACATATATTTGCCCCCCAAATATCTACAAACACCATGCCTATTTTTGCATTCTCGCCTGCCCCCTGACCGAGGAAGCTTCTAGCTGTTGGAATCCATTATATTTCTGTGACAACTGAGGGAATAATTGCTGGCTTGTAATGACTGCTGGTTCTGTACAACCTAATCTGCTAAACATTGCTCGGGAGTGCAGCGTGAAAAGCCCACTCCGATTCCAGCACGGTGATGAAATAATATAAATGCAAATGCCATCAAATTAAATTAGCCAGGTGATGGTGCCACAATGCAGAGAGACACCATAGCAAGGGCGAAATGCTCAGTTGTCGGCTCTGCCTTGGGAAGCTGGTTTTTCATCTCTATTGTTTTGGGGGGGAAGGAAGACTTCAAATGCCCATCCAGAGAAAGCTGAAGAAGGTTGAAAATCTGATGGGTGCCAACATTTGTGCCACACGCTTTCGTTTTATTATCATTTCTTTTAATTGCCAAAAAACCCCCAAAACTTATGGAATGGTGATTTTTTTTTTCCCCCGTGCTAATGATGCAGTCTGTTCTTCTAAAGAAACAACCATCTGATTTCTGTGCCTTAAATTGGGCTGCCAAGAAATTAAGAAATCAAATTATGCATTGATTTCTTTTGGTCTCTTGGATGGGTGCTTCAGGTATAACTAATCAATATGACTTGCAACCGCTGTTTTTAATTCCTGTGCTTATCTTTTATTTTATTTTTTTGAGGGTGGGGGGAAGTTAACAAGAGTCTCACTGCCCCCCTCTCCTTGGACTTGGTGAAAGAAAAAGGAGAAAAACTTCCTTTGTTTTTTGGAATCATAATTCCAAACCTTACTGAAGAAGGAGGCCTTTGCCTCCGTTTCTTCTGGCAACGTGATTCTTTCTGCAGCATTGACCTTTGCATATGACCAACAAATGCCAAATAGATTTTGGTGCATTCATGCTGGACAAAGTGACTTGAGGTTGGTGTGCAAAATGATGCTTCTGAGCTTGGAGGAATGTAGGAAAAACTCTCACATTTTCCTCCTGATTTCGATATGGTGCAATATTTAGCTGTTTATTTATTTAGTCCATTTGTATAGCTGCCCATCTCAAATGTGTGTCCCCTGGGCTCCTAACATGGCTTAAAAACAAAATTAAAAACCATGGAACAAAATTACAAATAACATATATAGCAGATGAGAAAAAACACTTGCCAGGAGAAATTACAAGGATGTCCAACTCCTCAACCCAACTCAACTTAACTCAACCCAAACCCACCCAAGCCGCCAACTCAACTTCTCAACCCAACTCAGTTGACCCTGAACTAGAAAAATCCTTGCACACGGTTAGACTTTCCTTGGTAAAGATCCAGGGTTGTCCAGATTGAGGCAATTAGGTGAGCCACGGCAACGATTGTGTGATTTGCAGGGGGTGGTGATGATGGAAGAGGGAGAGTTTCACTACTGCATCTTTTCAACTTCCTACAGTGCCTGAAACAACTTCCTGCAAAAATATATCTAGAACTTATCTCAATTCTAATTGCTGCTGTTTTTCCCATATGTTAGGCCAGGCTTTTAGGAAACCAGTTTATCAATGTTCGTTTTCATAAAGAGCCTCAATTATTATTTTGATTCCATTGAATTATTTTTAATGGCTTATATTTTTCATTATTTCTATGGATTTTCTATGGATTATTTTGCCCACCCAAAGTTATGTATTTAAGATGGGTGGGTAGCTACATTTTCTAAATAAAGAAACAGTAGGGTCACAATAGTCGTGATATTATCCAAATAATGGAATAATAATCCAGCAATGTGTTTATAGGTAGACACCTCTGAATCATATTTTAAAATGAAATAAGAAGCCTTTAAGGCCTCATTGAGAGTGACAATTTCCCCTTGCCTTTTTTTAAAGCCTCTTGGGCTAAATGAAAGTGAAATTTAAACAGTTGTCAACTTAAAGAAGATTAAAGGGTCTGGTAGCTTTGCGAGCCATTATCGGTGAGAATAACTATGAGTCTCATTAGTATTTGCTGTTAAGAATCTCAGCTTACTTTCCCTTTTTAATCACATTTATGGTGATAAATCAATATTGCCTTAAATGGCATCGCTTGATTTAATACGAAGATTCTGCACCAAATACACTGGGGCTGAGTCCCTATCAGTGAGATTTTTTGAAACCTTAATTGAATCTGAATCTTACCTAAGCTTACAGTGATGCTATTCCCTCTAGTCATAATTGTTTTGTCACCTTTTTTATGATCTTCACTCCTCTCTAATGCATGAACAGGGTGTGCATCAATTTTAGGGAGACATATGGTGAGTGTGACAAGATGCCAGAGAAAGTCACGTTCTCTCTACTCAAGAGATCCCTCAAGATGAGAGATCCTTCAAAATATAGAACGGTGTCTCTCCAACCTCCCTCGTTTTGACGTGCTGCATATTTTCTGGGGGAAGGGTAGGACTAACCTTTCCGTTACGGCCAACTTCTTTTTCTTTATTGGGTGTGTTGAGTAGGAGCTCCTCAAGCTTATTATCGGTGGGCGTTGGAAGTTAAACATTCCCCAATTCACATTCTCCAGATGTTTCGTGGGCCACCTCCACCAGAATTCCTAATCAGCTTGACCTTTGCTAGAGAAAACTCGTCTCAGACTAATTTCACACAAAGTTCTGGGGAAATCAATGTTGGGTGAACATCTCAGAAGATTCTATCATTGCAAAGAAGAAGGTTCATTATGAGGGCAGGGAGGCCATTTTGTATGGAAGCGTCTTCACTGTTTTAACTGACTGCATCGACGAAACCTCATAAACATCTAAATAAGGGCTTTGAGGAGAGTAGAAACTTCACTTGAGGCTTTGGGGGCGCCTAGATGTATATAATTTCTTTTAGGTTAAGCCAATTCTATGTATCATTTTTCTTCTCGTTGCTGTTTGGATTCCTTCCGTGTCTCACTATGGCAAAGATGGACCATCCTCCTGCAAATGTTTGACATTCTCACCTGTTGTTGTTGTTGGAGTAGGTCATGACATCTAGTTATGACTCTCCTCTTTATCCCACTGCAACCCACCACCCTGGATAAACCGAAACCCTTCATTTTAGCACTTCCTGGTAGCACTGTTGCTCTCATTCTGGGGAATTCTTCATTTAATTCTCTTTTTTTTTTCGCTCTTTCCCCACAGCCAGTGCCAAGAAATGACTACCCTCTAAGATGTCCACCATGGCAAACAGGAAATGGCAAAGCACCACAGTGGCCATGCTGGATCACCCTACAAGAGCCTGCCCTTCTTCTCCTCATGGCCAAGCAACCGAGAAGGCCAAAAGTACTTTGCCCGAGGAAGACTATGGGGAGAAGGTGATGGATGCAGTATCAGTCGGTCAAGGTAGCTTTCCCCCGGTAGACTCCGAGCATATTGATAACAGCGGCGATGGGGACTCTAGTTCAGATTATGTCAACAACACTTCGGAGGAGGAGGATTATGATGAAGGGCTTCCAGAGGAAGAGGAAGGAATCACCTACTACATTCGATATTGTCCGGAGGATGACAGTTACCTGGAAGGAATGGATTGCAACGGAGAAGAATACGTCCCCCAAGAAGTGCATCACGTGGAGACGGACGAGTGCCAGGAAGCTATCGAGGAAGGAGAATGGGTGGAGACCAAAATTCAGCACCAGGACAACGTGGCCGAAGCCGTGGGCTACCACGAAGGCTGCATCCAGATTCTGGAAAGCGAGGTGGCCTGTTTAGAAATCCAGGACCAAGACGAGAGCCTGCGGTATTGCCATCCCGGCGAAGGCGGGTACTACTCCCCGGAAGCCAACGGCAACTCCCGCCGGATGTCCCCTTACCACGGCAGGACGGAAGAGAGAGATTTGGAAGAGCAGGAAGAAGACATCGACCAGATTGTGGCGGAGATCAAGATGAGCATGAGTATGAACAGCATCAACAGCGCATCGGAAATGAGCCCGGAGCACGACGGCACTGAAAACGTGCCCAATGACTATGCAGAGACGTGTCCCAAGGGAGAGCCCGGCCATGTGGCCAGTCGGCACCTGGGGCGGCCCAAGTCCTTGAACATCCCTCCAGCCTCCAAGCAACTTGGAGATGCCCCAAGAGGCTTCAAGACCAAGTCCAGGACTCCAGAGGACAGACAGGCCTGGCCACAAGAACAGGTGAGCCAGAGAGTCTCCTTCTTTGCCGAGGGGTTTTGGTCACTGGTAGAATCATACAGCCCATAATACAGCCCTTCATTCAGTGACTGTTTGGAGTTACAACGGCACTGAGACGATGACTTATGACCGTTGCAACATTCCCACCATTATGTGATCAAAATCGGGGCCCTTGTCAAATCAAATCAAGTTTATCACAGTCAAAGACCAGAGACCGGAACAAGTAAAAACACCCCAGTTAAAAATTCTAGAATAAAATTTAAAAATGACAGATAAAATCTATCTTAAAATCACAAATTTGGCCTCCAATCCGACAGTTGCGCATGGCCTAACTATACGATGCTATCAGTCCTCAAACTGTGAGGCCCACAGTCATCGAATACGGAAATGCAAAAGAGCGGTAACGCGAAAGGGTTTGCCCCATTCGTTGTGTAAAATAGCTGTGGTGGATTAACCACTGTGTTTCCGATGATCCCCCAGTGCGCCTGGCAACTGTCACGTAGGGATGGAGTAGCATGAAGTAGCAGAGCTCCTTCTGGGTCCTCAAACGTTCAGAAAAATGGAGCCAGCTTCTCCCCCTTTAGAAAAAAAAAAGGGTGCTCAGAATTTTGCCACCAATTTTTGCACGTGCAAAAATTTTGCATGCGTTGGAGAACATCTGTAGTCAGCTTATGAGGAGTGGAATGTTTGTCCTATCGAGTTGAGTAGCTCCAGCTCCAAGGAAGACGCCTGTATTCCAGGCGATCTGAGCTGAGCTTGGCCAGATAAAATCTGCGCCCTCAAATTCTCATTTTATTTATCCATGGGAAGCCAGGCTGAATTTCCCTAATGATTATTAAAGCTGTAATTGCATTTGGATGTCTTTTGTTTTGTTTCCTCCTCCTCCTCCTCCTCCTCCTCCTCTTTCTCCTCCTCCTCCTCCTCCTCCTCCTTCTCCTCCTTTCTCCTCCTTTCTCCTCCTCCTTCTCCTCCCCCCCCCCCCAATTCTCCTCATTACGGTGCAATGTGCTATCCAGGGAGGAATTACCAGCAATTATTTTGATATATAGACCACCGTGCTATAAATACATGTTTTGCCCTAGTAAAAGGAAGTCTCACCATCTCTAAAATAGCTCTACAAAGAAATTAATTGAACAAATGATAACAAGGATACCGAAAGGGGCCTTCAGAAAAATGGAACGTGTTGCCCAGTTTCCAAATAGGGCATTGGGGTCTGTCCCAAGGGATTTAACAGCCTGAATGCAAAATAGTTGGTCGGAATAGCAAATAATCATTCTATGAGATTCCATGTGCAAAGCAAACAGAGAGGTGGGGAACAAGGGAAAAATTGCCGTATATTTTAAAAGCAAAAGAAGAAGAACTCAATTTGAAATTTTACATATTAATCAGCCTTGGTTTTACAATAATTATATGACATGTTGAGTTTCCCATGGATAGATTGGAGCATCGGGTATGTTTGTCACCTTAAGTTATACACCCATTAATTAATTAATTATAATTATGACAGTTTGGTAGCAGCCAATATGATGCATTTATCCTTTCTCTGTCTGCCTTATATGTGTTGAGGAAGGCTGTGCCTTGGTTCACAGATTAAGGTGAAGCCATTATTTATTGAACCAGTTTATTGAATAAGCCATAAATGCCTGGGCTTATGCAACACATTAAGTTGAACCCAGTTAATGCCCGAGTTATCTCAAAGTCATCTGTTAACATTCCAGATTTAGGGGGAGCGGGACAACTTATGGGATCCTTGGATCTGCAGGTTTTAAAATTACAGTTGGGGAAATGGTGATTTCATATAGAACTCAATCCAATACAGTCTCTAAACTTGGTCCATAAATGAATTATAATCAAACCTGCCAAGAAGGGGAGAAACTCGGCGGTTGGGCACCCCAAGACCAATATATTTTCTGTCATTCCGCCCTGTAAGTAATTCCCTCCTCCTGCAGCCCCCCTGTCCCTTTGATCTAATGCTGCCTGCTCTCAAAATAATTTGCAGTTGCCAGGCAGTGCGGTAGATGTCTTCTACATATGACCTCTGTTGCACTGGGAGTTTTCCGTGCATGCTGGTACATGTTGCACTTACAACTGAGCAGGGTGCTTAGTTGTTGTTGTTTTTAATTCCCAAGCAAGGATAAACATTATCAAGGAACTGGAGAAAGTATGTCAAGATTCCACCTCTCCGCCTTGGTGGAAAGCATGTTGCTTTCAATTAATGCAAATCTTTTAAGACCTAGATGTTCTGCATAAATTTACCCCCTCCCCACCTTGGGGTGAGAAGGCTGCTGTTTGAAAATAGTTCTCAGGAAAGGGCACAGAAATGGAATCTCACTGGGGAGAGATCTACTCCATGATGCTCAAAGGAAGGTGGGCAGGGAGATTTCAGGACCCTGGACAGAGCAAGAGGTTGATTGGGGTCTACTTAAGGCCGAGATCTTCAAACTTGACAGCTTTAAGGCTTGTGGACTTCAGCTCCCAGAATTCCTTCTCCTCCAGTCATGTTAGCTCAGGAATTCTGGGAGTTGAAGTCCACCAGTCTTAAACTTGCCAAGTTTGAAGACCTTTGTGATAGATGATAGATAGATAATAGATAGATAGATTGATTGATAGATAGGTAAATAGGTAGGTAGGTACAGAGAGAGAGAGAGAGAGATGATAGATTAATAGGTGATAGATAAGGGATCTTCAAACTTGACAGCTTTAAGGCTTGTGGACTTCAGCTCCCAGAATTCCTTCTCCTCCAGTCATGTTAGCTCAGGATTTCTGGGAGTTGAACTCCACAAGTTTGAAGACCCTTGATTTACAACTTGTGGAGGCAAGTAGTTCCACTGATTAAATCAGGGGTCTTCAAACTTGACAGCTTTAAGACTTGTGGACTTCAGCTCCCAGAATTCCTTCTTCTCCAGTCATATTAGGTCAGGAATTCTGGGAGTTGAAGTCCACAAGTCTTAAACTTGCCAAGTTTGAAGACCCTTAACTTAAGACTTGCCAAGGGTTGGTGCCCCCTCGTTATCTCAACAGGCAGTCCTTGACGTACAGCCATTTGTTTAGTGACCAAAGTTATAACCGTGCTGACAACAGTGACTTATGACTGGCCTTGTGCTTAATGGCCAATGCATTCACAGGATCAAAATGCACGATGAGGCATTGATGACGTGATTGCACGATCACCATTTGCAACCTTCCCAGGGGCTTCCAACAAGCCGTGTCAATGGGGGAAGCTGGATTTGTTTAATGACCGTGGGGTGGAGGGAGGGAAGCTTGTAAATCAGGCATGGCTCATTTGACAAGAGGGACAGAAGTTCTGATCCCGATTGCGGTTGTAAGTTGAGGATTACCTGCAGTCCATCAGAAATGGCAATTGTTCTGGGACACTGCTAGACGTGTTCACACAACCATGGTTGAAAATCCTCCTTCACAAAAGAGGAGTGGGTATAAAGAGACAACTCAGGTGGGAAAGAGCTCTGTGGATCGTGTCTTTTACCAAGCAAAAGTAAATCCGTGGTGTACTGTCCCTGACATTGGGGGACCCCCACTCTCATTTTCTCCTTTGTGGGCTGCCTCACTCTGTGAAATGCTCCAGCATCCATTCGACAAATCCACGGGGAAATATGGAATTCAGAACTGGTGGAAACGACCATCTATCCAAGCGCCTGATGGAAACTTAAATCTTTCTTGTGCTGCCCAACCAGTCAACGCATAAATCAGTTCTTATTTCCACAGCAGGAGCAATAAAACTCATGGGCGAGAGGCAGTGATAAATGATGTTAGCATTGATTCTCTTCCTCTTACATTATTGATCGCCACGGTCTCTCTCTTTCTCTTTCTCTCTCTCTCTCGCTCGCTCGCTTCCCTTCCCTTTGTAGGTATGCAATGGCTTAGAACAACCCAGGAAGCAACAACGCTGTGATCTCAATGGGCCGATCGACAACAATAATATGCTGGAGGCAAGTCCTGGAATCTAACTAGATGTCTCCTTTTCTTCCTCTCTGTTTTGTGCTGTTCCGAAGCTGCAAAATATTGTTGGTCCACCTGCACCTGTGTTTGTGTGTGTAGATGTAGGAGGTACCACTCGGGTGTGAGGAGGGGCAGTGGGAACTAAATTGGTTAAAACAG